TACAATGAACTCCTCAGTTCATAGAACGAGCTCAATAGCTTCCGATGAACGCTTTAGTTCATAAAAAGAGCTCAACAGCTCATAAAAATTGAGATGAGCTCTTTAGCTCATAAATTTTTTTTTAAAATAACGGCACATAAAGTAAGGATGGGCTCTTCAGCTTGAGCATAAGAGATGAGCTCCTCCACTCATGAAGTCGATGCAGATACTTCAAATCATAAGCATGCAACAAGGTCTAAAGCAAAGTTGCAAACAACCAGTAAAGGAGAACACTTAACCATCGAGCAAAACAAATGTTCAAAGCAATACAGTGGAGAAAACAAAAGAAATACAAAGGAAACTCTTAGTTCTTAACATCGCTGAGGCGTCTCTTGAGCTCAGCCACCCCCTTTGGGTTGAATCTGATGTCAACCCCTGGGTTTAAGCTATTTTTTGAATCGACCCATCACAGTGAGAATTTTATTTTATGGTAATGCACTCTTACGGCTCAGCACAAGAGCTCCTGAGGAAACTTCTCAGATTTCTATGGGCTGAGGTTAGCTCGTATGGCTGCATAGACCTTCTGAAGTTGCTCCTTAGAGCCACCCACCTCAAACTCAACATCTCCTTGATGAGCTGGCTAAAATTGGGTTGGTATTTCTCAGGCTTATCTTCCATCAAAGTCTCCATGTATGCAGCAACATGGCCCCCAAGGATATATTTCTATATGGACCTCAACATCGCCGAATTGAGCAGATCCTTGGTGGCACAATTAATTGGTGGACACCGCCAACAGAGGCCTGCCACCCATCTACTCCGCATAAAAGAGAATCGAGACGAGAGTCTAAGGAGTTATCTCACTCGTTTTAATAAGGTGGTCCTCCAAATCGAGGAGCCCAAAGACAAATTCACCATAACCGCCTTTCTAGGATACCTCTGCTCATCAAGTTTTCTCTTTTCAGTAATGAAGCAACCACCAAAGAGTATGCCAAAATTATTGGCAAAAGCTCAAAAATATATGAATGCTGAGGAAATTAACAGGTCCAGGCGAGGTGAATCATCTCACGAATCGCCAAAAGCTTGACCTATCTTTGCTTTGCTCTCAGGTAGGCAGCCTATGTCTCTAGCTTAGCGACTCTCTCGCGGGTCGTCAAAAACTTGGCCTCTGCTCTACTTTCAAGTATGCAGCCTATCTCCAGTTTAACGGCTCTCTCATGGGTCGCCAAAAGTTTCATCTCTGGTCTGTTCTCAAGTAGGCAACTCATATCTCCAGTTGAGCAGCTCTCTCATGGGTCGCTAAAAAATTAGTCTCTACTCTGCTCTCAAGCAGGCAGCCTATCTCCAACTTAGTGGTTCTTTCGCGTGTCACCAAAAGCTTGGCCTCTGCTCTGCTCTTAAGCCGGCAGCCTATATCACCAACTAAATGGCTCTCTCATGGGTTGCCAAAAGCTTGGCCTACATCGACTCTCCTCTCAAATAGGCAGTCTAAACCTTTAGCTTAGCGGCTCTCCCATGGGTCGTCAAAAGCTCGGTCTCAAAATGTAGCTCTCTCACGAGTAATCTTCAAACTCTGTCTCTCCTTTCATGCAAACAGTTTGCCTCTCTCTACAGGTAATCATGTTAGATATTTTGATGTTAGAATAACATTATTTTTATCATCTCTAGGCACATTTTTGAAACTCAGGTCATCTACAATCCGCAGGACTACATTAGATTGAATGTCAACAATTGAGCCGCATAACTCAATGTTCATTCTCAACCACCACGCTTGGTTAGCTTAGTGTTGGCGAATCTACTCCCAGCGCGCCTAAGCCCCAGTACTATTTCACAAGAGGCACCCGTCGCCAACTGCGTCTCGCCTAGTAGCATAGGCACCTCACTAGTACCACCCTATGGTATAAGTGCTTCCGCAGTAGTGTCTACCGCCATAGGCACCTCACTGCTACCACCCGACGCATGGAACATCCTGTCTATTGCCATTTGCGCCCCTCCACCAGCACCCAATGCCATGGTCGCCCCTTCAGAAGTGCCCAGCGCCATAGACGCCCTTCCAGCTGCGCCCAACGCCATAGATGCCCATCCAGTAGTGCCCAACACCATGGACCCCCCTCCAGCTGCGCCCAGTGCCATGGGCGCCACTCCATCAATGCCATTCCTGCGCGCCCAGCTAGAGCAGCAGCCTATCTTGCGCCCAGCAGCAACCTCTCTTGCGAGTCCAACTAGCGTCGAAGCCTCTCCTATGTGCCAAACCAGCGCAGCAGCCCCTCCTGCGCGCCTTAGCAGCTCGCAGCGTAGCACCCTCTCCTGCGTGCCTAACTAGGTGACCAACACCTTTCAAGCACCCAGCATCTCTCAGGCGCCCAACACCTCTTTGGTGCTCAGCCCAGGTGCCTATCACCTCTCAGGCACTCACCAGTCGCTCAGCTTCTCAAGCGCCAGCCCCAAGGCGCCTTGCTCTCTTGCACCTTCCTCTCCTCTCCAAGTTCCAAATATAAAATTCGGAAGGTCTTGAGATGTCCTTGAAAGGTGGAATATAATAAGAAAGAAAGGAGTCGCCAACCAAAAGGAGCCTCTAAGAAATTCAAGTTCAAGAAGGGTTGATCACTATTTTGACAATAACTTTTGCTCCGTTACTCTAAACGGGGCTTATTATCTATCAAATTGAAGCTCTTGACGAGTCCTACAAGATTCATAGCCTTGGGCTTTGATAGTCGTTGTTAAAAGTCCAAAAAAGGCCTAGAAATATATGTTTTAGCCTCTCGAAGTTTTTTGAGTTGTTTTTCCATGCTTGCCCATAGGAGCTCGCCTATGGTGCTCGCCCATGGGTGCTCGCCCAATGGCAAGGACCTCAGTCCCTTGATGCAGCGCCTCTCCCGTGACCATAACTTTTGATCCGTTTCTCCAAATGGGACCCATAATATATCAAATCAAAGCTCTTAACGAGCCCAGCACGACTAATCGTCTTTGGTTGTGACAGACATTGTTAAAAGCCCAAAAAAGGCTTAGAAACATTTTGTTTGGGCCTTTTAAAGTCGTTCCAATTATGTGTTCAGTCGAAATTCAAACTCAACTGAATGCCCTATTATCCAACTACCATTGGACACAGGGCATTGGGGGGAAAATGATAGGTCAAATCCAAGGGCCCAACCCACGTTGTAAGCCCAATTTAAATTAAGAGCCCAACTTAAGAGAGCTTCAACAAGTCTAGCCCAAAGTGGTCCACGTTTAGTCAAGCTCATCAGGTTCGAGGAGCTACATCAGCAAGGGAGCGTGAAGGGTCACTCAAGAGCCTCATCCTCGCTGCCTTTAAAAGAGTTAACACCCATCTTATCCTTTAATCGAATCTCATGGAGAACACTACAACTACCTCGCTCTTAGAGAAGAGATAGCCAGCTCCTCCAGAATAGACACTTAGTTACTAATAACTCGCCCCAATTTGTTATGGGACAACTATAAATTGTTAGCCCTGCCAACATTTGGAGGACAGATCACACTCAATCGAGCACAACTCTCCTCTCCCTCTCAAAGCTTATGACTCTCTATTCTCCCTACACTCTTGAAGCAATAAAATACCCAACGGCCCTAACCATTCAAAGTGGATGTAGGTCACGTTGACTGAATCACTATAAATCCTTGTCTTCTCCATCTCTTACTTATTTACTGCATTTATTATTGATTATTTGACATGTGGTGTGCAAGCCCAATTTGTGCATCATCAAGTTCCAACCACATGAGTTGTTTCAGGGTTTGTGCCATGATCATACAATCTAACAAGCCCAAAGTCTCCAAGCCGACTGTTAAAATTAGCATCTAGCAATAAATTGCAGGCCTTCACATCTCTGTGAAGAACAACTTATTCCCATTGTTGATGTAAATATAGCAGGCCAGAAACTATCCCTCTGAGAATTGGATAGCGTTGTGCCCAATTAAGGCTTGTTTTTTGGTTGCTGTATAAGAACTTGTCGAGACTTCCATTGGGCATGTAATCATAGACCAGGAGAAGCCCTTCCTTTCACTGGCAGTAGCCGAGGAGGGCCACTAAGTTCTTATGCCTCAGCCTTCCCATGCTAGCAATTTCTGCCACGAATTCCCTCATTCCTTATATTGAATGATGTGAGACTCTCTTCACTGCGACTTGTGCTTTGGAAGAAGGAAGTACTCCTCTATAAACTTTTCCAAAACCTCCAGCTCCAAGAAGTTCTTTCTCTTTGAAACCTTCGATTGCTTTGTAGAGATCCTTATAGGAGAATCTCTGAGGTCCATATTCCATTTCCCAATCCTCTCTTATTTCTTCATACTTTCTCTTTCTCGGAATGTAAGCAGTCCCGCATAGAGTGATGATCACAATAGATACTAAAACAATTGAGACTACCATTTCAACAACCGGTAATCCCTTTGATTTTATTGAACCAGGAACCGAAGGAAGCTTTGAGAGTTCTAGACCCTTTGCTGACCCAGTTTTGTTGAAGCTCCACCTGACAATATAGTGGTTGATTGCGTCAGCTGTACCTGTTGCTGCAGAGAAATCAATATACATGGAGTGCAAGAAAATTGGAGAAAGATTGATGGAGGTTGGCAGTAGAGGTTGATTAGGTTTTGGGCTTTTGATTGGAGCTAGGGCAACTTTTATAATCTTTTTTCAGCCATCATAATCGATCCAAATTTGAATTGGTTTTCCACTCGTAAGCTCCAAGCTTGTGTTTACGCCATTGGAGAAATATGACACAGGAGCTGATGCAGTTGAGGTTAAGTTGTTTACGTCGATTCCAACATGATTGCCATTAATATCGTGGAATAGAGTATTAGCAATAGTGTCAAACTCAACTACGAAGACATGGTTTGAGGAAAGGCCATTGTTAGAAGAATTGAAGAGTCCCAAATAGAGGCTTGGCGTGGCATGACTGAAGTCCACAGATGGAGAGATGCTGAAAGCAAAGCCATTGCCATTTTGAACTGACAATTCGGGAACAATGGTGCGAAGATAAAACAGATGGAAAATGAGTAGCTGATCAAAAGCCTACGTTGCAAAAATGTATTTCTTTGCTGATTTCTTCACCATTTTCTTCTCTAAGCTGGATTGCTGCTGGTTTTCACAACAGATTTGGGAGCTGCACATCTCACTGTTCACATGACTGTTCATGTGAACAGTAAATGCTGAAATTTGTTCTTCCTCTACTGGATGTTCTGGAGTCACTGGACTGTTCAATTGGTTCTTGCAGCTGATTTTTGCGGCTGGTTTGGGATTTTTTGGATTGCTTCAAAATATGGCTCACATGTTGCTTGCTTGTTTGTGATTGTTGGTCGTTCTACGTGCGATTCCTTGGTGCTTCTTTTTCTTTGCTAATGCATGCAATTGGCTTGCAACGGGGTTGCTTATGGGGTTGTTGCTTGCTGGTTGTTTAAGGGCAGCATTGGTCCTGCGTTTTGTCTGTTTCTATTACCAATGTATGCTTTTGTTAACATGGAAGTGTTTGTTAGCTGCAATAGACCATCGGGCCGGATTTGAGCCAGCTTATCAAGGTGAAGATTGGCTTCACGAAAGCCATTGTAAATGAACTGGTTTTGAGCTTGAGTTATGGCCAAGAGTTTGTAAAACACAGAGAGAAGTAGCATCCTGAAATGAAGAGATATAAGATCTGTAGTCTTTTTTTTAGAGAAGAAAAGGTTTCTTCTTTAAAGATAAAGTGACAATTGCTATTCCTTTGCCAAGTAATGAGTTTTCTCAATTGCTAAATGTACTACATTAATACATTTTGGAAAATGCTATTTGGTTGAAACGTTCGTATCGCTGTTGCCACTAGCCAAGCAGATTGGGAAATTAATGAAAAGCCAACCACACAAATTGGATCAATAGCAAAAAAAAATTAAAAAAATACACAAATTGGACAATCATGTAAAGCCTCTGACAAGCAATTTCTTGATCCGATTTATTGACTAGTGTGACTTTGATATTAAATAACGGATTATGTCAATAGATTAGGTAGAAGTGTTGATATCTCTCTATACATAAGTCTCGGATTTCTCATTTAATTTATCTGATTTTGAAGTCCAAAATTTTCATGTTTTTTTATTAGGTTCTGTTGTCATATGTTTACTAGGTTTACTAACATCACTAAATGTGGGCGTTGTATTTGTACAAGAGTAATGNATGTATTTCTTTGCTGATTTCTTCACCATTTTCTTCTCTAAGCTGGATTGCTGCTGGTTTTCACAACAGATTTGGGAGCTGCACATCTCACTGTTCACATGACTGTTCATGTGAACAGTAAATGCTGAAATTTGTTCTTCCTCTACTGGATGTTCTGGAGTCACTGGACTGTTCAATTGGTTCTTGCAGCTGATTTTTGCGGCTGGTTTGGGATTTTTTGGATTGCTTCAAAATATGGCTCACATGTTGCTTGCTTGTTTGTGATTGTTGGTCGTTCTACGTGCGATTCCTTGGTGCTTCTTTTTCTTTGCTAATGCATGCAATTGGCTTGCAACGGGCTTGCTTATGGGGTTGTTGCTTGCTGGTTGTTTAAGGGCAGCATTGGTCCTGCGTTTTGTCTGTTTCTATTACCAATGTATGCTTTTGTTAACATGGAAGTGTTTGTTAGCTGCAATAGACCATCGGGCCGGATTTGAGCCAGCTTATCAAGGTGAAGATTGGCTTCACGAAAGCCATTGTAAATGAACTGGTTTTGAGCTTGAGTTATGGCCAAGAGTTTGTAAAACACAGAGAGAAGTAGCATCCTGAAATGAAGAGATATAAGATCTGTAGTCTTTTTTTTAGAGAAGAAAAGGTTTCTTCTTTAAAGATAAAGTGACAATTGCTATTCCTTTGCCAAGTAATGAGTTTTCTCAATTGCTAAATGTACTACATTAATACATTTTGGAAAATGCTATTTGGTTGAAACGTTCGTATCGCTGTTGCCACTAGCCAAGCAGATTGGGAAATTAATGAAAAGCCAACCACACAAATTGGATCAATAGCAAAAAAAAATTAAAAAAATACACAAATTGGACAATCATGTAAAGCCTCTGACAAGCAATTTCTTGATCCGATTTATTGACTAGTGTGACTTTGATATTAAATAACGGATTATGTCAATAGATTAGGTAGAAGTGTTGATATCTCTCTATACATAGGTCTCGGATTTCTCATTTAATTTATCTGATTTTGAAGTCCGAAATTTTCATGTTTTTTTATTAGGTTCTGTTGTCATATTTTTACTAGGTTTACTAACATCACTAAATGTGGGCGTTGTATTTGTACAAGAGTAATGCCTAGTTAAATTTAAAAGATTAATACAATTATACTCAATTTCTATTGGACAGCGAAATGTCTAATGCACATAGGCGGGATTTTATCATGTCTTGTTAATGTCTTTGTAGGTACCGTGTTTAAGGGTGACTCCATGAAGTGAACAGAGGAGTACTTGAGACTTACTGGAAAATGACAGCATCACCGAATATGATCCTAACAACACTAACATCCATATTGTCATTTGAAGAATGGAAAAATAACCTATATATCCATTTAGACTGCCCTAGCCTAACTATGGCTGAAATTTCCTAGGATAAAATTAAAACTATAGGTTTTTTTTTGGGTCATAAAAACTATAGGTTCAATCCATAATTTTCCGTATAAGGCCAAGATGAAATTTATAGTAATGAGTAGGTGCTATACTAAAAAATTATGACTATATAAGGTTCAAAATTTTGATATCGAATCTAAAGGACAAAATTTTGGATGGAACCTAGCTCAACTTCACTGGGTGGTAAGATGAAATGTTTGAATTATAACTTGGTCTAATTTAATCGTAATATTTTATGTGAGAATGAAAAATCAACGATCCTGTTAATGACATTACTTTCGATATCTTTCTTGATCATCGCTTTGAAAAGAAGGTCTTGACGAATCCGACGAAAAGAGCAAGTATGGCAAGTTATTGACAAGGCAAATAATTGCAGTGCTGATAGTGATTGCCAACAAATTATAAGTAGCTGGGTTTTTAACTCATGAACGATGGGTTGAATTGCCCACATGGGTTGGACACAAACCCAACAAATAACAACGGACTACATCAAANTTGATATTAAATAACGGATTATGTCAATAGATTAGGTAGAAGTGTTGATATCTCTCTATACATAGGTCTCGGATTTCTCATTTAATTTATCTGATTTTGAAGTCCGAAATTTTCATGTTTTTTTATTAGGTTCTGTTGTCATATTTTTACTAGGTTTACTAACATCACTAAATGTGGGCGTTGTATTTGTACAAGAGTAATGCCTAGTTAAATTTAAAAGATTAATACAATTATACTCAATTTCTATTGGACAGCGAAATGTCTAATGCACATAGGCGGGATTTTATCATGTCTTGTTAATGTCTTTGTAGGTACCGTGTTTAAGGGTGACTCCATGAAGTGAACAGAGGAGTACTTGAGACTTACAGGAAAATGACAGCATCACCGAATATGATCCTAACAACACTAACATCCATATTGTCATTTGAAGAATGGAAAAATAACCTATATATCCATTTAGACTGCCCTAGCCTAACTATGGCTGAAATTTCCTAGGATAAAATTAAAACTATAGGTTTTTTTTTGGGTCATAAAAACTATAGGTTCAATCCATAATTTTCCGTATAAGGCCAAGATGAAATTTATAGTAATGAGTAGGTGCTATACTAAAAAATTATGACTATATAAGGTTCAAAATTTTGATATCGAATCTAAAGGACAAAATTTTGGATGGAACCTAGCTCAACTTCACTGGGTGGTAAGATGAAATGTTTGAATTATAACTTGGTCTAATTTAATCGTAATATTTTATGTGAGAATGAAAAATCAACGATCCTGTTAATGACATTACTTTCGATATCTTTCTTGATCATCGCTTTGAAAAGAAGGTCTCGACGAATCCGACGAAAAGAGCAAGTATGGCAAGTTATTGAAAAGGCAAATAATTGCAGTGCTGATAGTGATTGCCAACAAATTATAAGTAGCTGGGTTTTTAACTCATGAACTATGGGTTGAATTGCCCACATGGGTTGGACACAAACCCAACAAATAACAACGGACTACATCAATATATTAGGTAGAGATGTTGATATCTAACAACAAAGAGTAATTTGGAAATCCGTTTAAAAATTTAGACTTATTTGAGCAAAATTACATCAAAGAAATTTATTTGGCCATAAGTGTATTCTTTTAAAAAAAAAAAGACCAAAATGCCATTTATTACTCCATTACTCTCTCTCTCTCTCTTCCTTTCTCTCACTCTCTCTTCCCTATTTTCTCTCTATCTATTCTCTCTCTTTCTCTCACATTGATAATTTATTTTTTTAAATATGTAAATATTTGATTTAATTTTTTCATTTCTCTCCCCATTTTTTTTCTCTCTCACTCCCTCTCCCCTTATTTCCTTATTCTTTCTCTCTCTCTCTCCTTATATCAACATTACAACAACAAAATTACACTAATCAGTTACACAAATTAGTTACAATTACCTAATAATACACCAAACAGTTACTTGTGTGTTCTAATAAACCAAACAATTACACTAATCAATTATATGAAATTACAACACCAACCCAATTTATCATAAAGTTATTTACATAAATCAAAGAGTTATACTATTTAATATCACAACATGGTTACACCAATTATATATACTAAATTGGGTTTATCATTACACAAAAGACTTTATCATTATACTAAATTTGATATATATAATTAGTGTAAAGATGTCGCGATATTAAATAGTGTAACTATTTAGTTTATGTAAACAATTGAATGACAAATTGAGTTGGTGTTATAATTTTATACAATTGTTTGGTGTACCTATTTGGTTGATTAGAACACATGAGTAACTATTTGGTGTATTATAGGACATCTGTAACTAATTGGTATAATTTGTGTTGTTGTAATGTTGATATAAATAGAGAGAGAGAAATAGTTAGAGAAAATAGGAGGAGAGAGAGAAATGGGGGAGTGAGAGACGAAAAAATAAATCAAATTTCTACATATTTGAAAAAGAAAATAAATATTCAATGATAGATAGAGATATGGGGAAAGCAAAGGGGAAGAGAGAGAGTGAGAGATGGAGAGAAAATAAGAGAGAGTCTAATAAAATTTTTACATATTTGATTATATACAATCAAGAATGCAAAATTTAAGGAAGGATATTTAGGTAAAAAAATTTTGATTTTATTTGAATTTTATACCTAAATACAATATGTTTTATTAAAATTGAACTTAATAGAATAAACAACTAATTCATACACTTTCCCTCAAATAAGTATAAAAAATTTTACCTACAACCAAAAAACCCAAAAATTAAAAAAATACACAAATTGTACAATCGTGTAAAGCGTCTGACAAGGAATATCTTGATCCGATTTATTGAATAGTGAGACTTTGATATTAAAAAGCGGATTATGTCAATAGATTAGGTAGAAGTGTAGATATCTCTCTATACATAGGCCTCGGAGTTCTCATTTAATTTATCTAATTTTGAAGTCCGGAATTTTCATGTTTTTTTATTAGGTTTTGTTGTCATATTTTTACTAGGTTTACTAACATCACTAAATGTGGGCGTTGTATTTGAACAAGAGTAATGCCTATTTAAATTTAAAAGATTAATAAAATTATACTCAATTTCTATTGGACAGCGAATATGCCTAATGCACAAAGGCGGGATTTTATCGTGTCTCGTTAACGTTTTTATAGGTACCGTGTTTAGGGGTGACTTCATGAAGTGAACAGAGGAGTACTTGAGACTTACTGGAAAATGACAGCATCACCCAATATGATCCTAACAACACTAACATCCATATTGTCATTTGAAGAATGGAAAAATAAACCTATATATCCATTTAGACTGCCCTAGCCTAATTATGGCTGAAATTTCCTAAAATAAAATTAAAACTATAGGTTTTTTTTTGGTTTTTTTTGTCATAAAAACTATAGGTTCAATCCATAAATTTCCGTATTAGGCCGAGATGAAATTTATGGTAATGAGTAGGTGCTATACTCAAATATTATGACTATATAAGGTTCAAATTTTTGAGATCGAATCTGAAAAAATAAATTTTGCATGGAACCTAACTCAACTTCATTGGGTGGTAAAGTAAAATGTTTGAATTATAATTTGATCTAATTTAATCGTATTAGTTTTTTGTGAGAATGAAAAATCAACGATCTTATTAATGACATCAGTTGCGATATCTTTCTTGATCAAGTATGGCAAGTTATTGAAAAGGCAAGTATGGCAAGTTATTGAAAAGGCAAATAATTGCAGTGCTGATAGTGATATGCAACAAATTAAAAGTAGGTGGTATAGTACACGTTATTCCACAAAACACCTCTTTTCTTTAATTAATGGGTTTTTAACTCATGAACTATGGGTTGAATTGCCCACATGGGTTGGATGCAAACCCAACAAATAATAATGGATTATATGAATATATTAGATAGAGAGGTTGATATCTAATAATAAAGGGTAATTTAGAAATCGGTACAAAAATTTAGACTTATTTAAGAAAAATTACATTAACGAAACTTGTTTGGCCTTAAGTGCATTTTTAATAAAAAAGATCAAAATGTCATTTATTACTCTATTACTCTCTCTCTCTCTCCATTACTTTCTCACTCTCTCTTCCCTATGTTCTCTCTATTTATTTTTTTCTCTTTCTCTCACATTGATAATTTATTACTTTAAATATGTAAAGATTTAATTTAATTTTTTCATCTCTCTCCCCTATTTTTTTTCTCTCTATCTCATTCCCTCCCCCCTTATTTCCTTATTCTCTCTCTCTTATATCAACATCACAACAACATAATTACACTAATCAGTTACACAAATTAGTTACAATTACTTTATAATATACCAAACAGTTACTCGTGTGTTCTAATAAACCAAATAATTATACTAAATAATTATACAAAATTACAACACCAACCTAATTTGTCATTCAGTTATTTACATAAATTAAAGAGTTACATCATTTAGTATCACGACAGGATTACACAAATTATATACAATAGATTGGGTTTATCATTATACTAAATTTGGTATATATAATTAGTGTAACGATGTCACAATATTAAATGGTGCAATTATTTAGTTTATGTAAACAATTGAATGACAAATTGGGTTAGTGTTATAATTTTGTGTGATTGTTTGGTGTATCTGTTTGTTTGATTAGAATGCATGAGTAACTGTTTAGTATATTATAGGATAGTTGTAACTAATTATAGAGAGAGAAACGGATAGAGAAAATAAGAGGAGAGAGAGAAAAATGGGGGAAAGATAAATGAAAAAATAAATCAAATCTTTAAATATTTGAAAAAGAAAATAAATTATCAATGATATATGGAGAGAGAAAATAGGGGAGAGATGGGGAAAGCAACAAGAAGAGAGAGAGACGGAGAGAAAATAGGGGAGAGATAGTGAGAGAGTTTAATGAAATCTTTACATATTTGGTT